GGTACGTGCTGATTTATTGAATGGGTTAAATAAGTGGCTTATTCTCAGAGTAAGCCAGATCTCTAATCTATATAGAAAATGTTGATATTCATGCCCTGTGATCCCAGAGACAGTTTATTTCTAAAATAGAGGGCATCTGGGGATAGAATCACTGTATTTTCACTGTGGACTTCACTATTTTGTTACAGGTTTGTCTAGTCCCAGCTTTGTTTTTAACAATAAAACTGCACTGGGGGGTCTCAGGTGTCTTTATAAACACCAGCCAAACCTTCTGCTCATCCAAGGGAAACAGGAAATATTTTTTTTGCTGAGTCCTGGAAATATAAGCTTTTAGAGACTAAACAGTTTTTCTCTAGGAAGGGTCTTTAAAAGATTATGTAGTCCAACCCCTTTTTTGTAGATCTGGACACTGAGGCCCATGACAGTCAAGTGACTCGTCCAAGGTCAGAAGAGAAATCTTCCCCAGGTGTTCTTGTGTCTCGCTCCATCACCTTCGTTCAGGTTCTGCTCAGAGCTCACCCCCTCACAGACGTCTCCTGAGACCAGCCTATCTAACATGTATCATACATCCCATCGCTCTCTATATCCCTAATCTGCTTTTTTTTTTAATTCAAAGCAGTTATTGTTATTTATTATTTATTGTCTTTCCTGTCCTACTAGAATGAATATAATTTCTATGGAGTTCTGTGTACTGTCATTTCTCCAGAACCTGCTGCAGAGTAGATGCTGAATAAATACTTGTTGAATGAATGAACAGTCACTGGTGGCGAGGAGACAATCCTGAGGCTCACAACCTTTTTCTCCAAATATGACCAGGGCCTCTCACCTTCCCATAGTCCTTCTCTCCTCCAATTCAAATGACACCAATGATAAACATCTGTTGATGCTTACTATGTTCCAAGTACTGGTCAGGCATTTTACGTGTATTAATTCATTTAATTCTAACAATAAACCCTAAGAGGTGGGTATGATTATAGCCCCCATTTTACAGATTAAGAAAC